GCATTTGTTCTACCTTTTTCTAGGCTCAAAGAGAGAACTGAAACCCAGTTCTGAAATCTCTTGCAAGAAAGTGAAATGGTCCAGCTCTGTCACCTCTTCCCCATCATCTCTCCTCTCAGATGGTGACAATTCTGAGTCCGAAGACCTCTTGAGTCCACCTGAGAGGCACAAAGGTACGAGCTGAGGGCTATCTGGCCTGACTCCAGATGGGGAAAAGCTGTTACAACCCCAGGTCAAACATGATCCACCCCATCTCTGTCCTTGTCCCAGCACTTTCCCTGGCCTCCTAGCCTCTAGTCACCCTCTGCAGTGTGTCCCCTCATGGCCCCAGAGGGATCTCTGCTCACAGCTCCCTCCTGTTCTCATTGCCACACAGTCCAGGCTCTTCATCCTGGCATCGGAGACCCTCATCGTTTCAATTCTTAACACAACCCTGTGCCCAGAACACTCATTGCTTAGAAATACTTCTTAGGACTTTCAGCTTCTGGTCTTAACTATGGCTGCTCTCCCTCCCAGAACATTCCCACCTCCTTTCTTTGCCACTTCCCAACACTCAAAAGGATCCAATGTCTAGGAAGACTTTTGAGCATTGGAGGTTGCACCAAAGCCTCCTCTTCTCCCTCCAGAGCCTCTCTTCAACCCCCTCTGGGCCTCTGAGCCTTTGCATTACTGTCCCCTCTGTCTAGATGGTTCTTCTCACTTCTGTCTCCCTCACTTCCTTCAGGTCTTTATTCTGTTGTTATCTTGTCAGAGAGCCCTTCCCTGATATCCCTAACTAAAAGTCTATCTCCCTTACCCATAATACCCTCATCTTAGGCTGAATCTCTAGAGAAACAAAACCAGTGAAATAGGGAGAGAGAGAGAGAGAGAGAGAGATTTCTGTCAAGGTAATGGCTCATATGGTTGTAGAGGCTGGCAAGTCCCAAGTCCATGGGTCAGGTGTCATAGTGGAGGCTTCTCCTGACTCATACAGCTATAAGGGCTGATAAATCCAAGATCAGCAGGACAGACAGCATGCTGCTGGCCCGTGGGCTGCAGAGGCTGACACGTCCAAGATGGGCAGGAAGATGGCAGGCTGCTGGCCCATGGGCTGCAGAGGCTGACACGTCCAAGATGGGCAGGAAGATGGCAGGCTGCTGGCCCATGGGCTGCAGAGGCTGACACATCCAAGATGGGCAGGAAGATGGCAGGCTGCTGGCCCA